GGTAAATTGATGATGACATTCAACCAACAATGCCGAGATGCACCCCATAGATTCATATAGATGCTTTCATCTAGCACAAATAAACATAGTTCAGCATGAGATCTTAGATACAAATGCACTTGCACATATATATAAACAAACGTTACAGATATATAAAATTATTATTACATGTATTCTATCTCAAACTCCAGGTATATGTGTACGACCACCAAATTTACTCCAGATATGTTCCACCAAATTATTCTTAAGTCGGTGATGAGCCGATCGATCTCGAATATTAGTATCTTTTTCTAAAGCTCTCTCGAGCGAAACATACTGTTCTGGAGAGCTTTCCGGTTCTTGAACGGTTGCTGAACTAGGAGCCACATTTAGATCTAGATTTTCTTCAATGTCCTCTTTCTTTTTCTCATCTTCAACTATCATATTGTAAAGTATGATGCAAGCTAGGACAACATCATGGAGTACATCTCGATCATATAAACGAGCTGGTCGTTTTAGGATGCACCATCGACGCTGCAATACACCAAAGGCTCTCTCAATATCCTTTCTTGCCCCTTCTTGTTCCTGTGCATACAACTTGTCCTTGTCGGTGATAGAGAGTCGTATTGACTTAACAAATACTACCCAATCAGGGTATATTCCATCAGCAAGATAATACCCAGTGTTGTGTTGATTCCCATTGACCATGTACTGGAATCTAGGAGCTAGTCCTTTTAGCTCATTGATAAATAGAGTAGATTGGTTCAAAACATTAATATCATTATTAGAACCCCCGCTACTCCAAAGAACGCATGCCAAATCCAAAGATCATGTGATGCCACGGCCTCAAGAATCAGCGTCAGCACTTTCTGATCACCACGAGTGAACTGACCCTTCCATGCATTTGGGCATCTTTCCCATTGCCAATGCATGCAGTCAATGCTGCCGAACATACCAGAAAAACCTCGTTTCTCACCAATTTTGAGTAGTGGGGCGCCTCAAATACTGTCCACCAAATACATCTCTAACACCTTTAACAAAATTCTTCATCGACTCCATTGTAGTAGTCTCTCCAATATTCAAGTATTCATCTAGTTCATCTGCAGCACTACCACTAGCCAATTGGTGAATAGCTAAAATACACTTCTGTAGTGGACTGAGCCCTTGCCTATTAACGGCATCCACCCTTTGAGTAAAATAATTAGAATTTTGGCCTAAGGCCTCGACGATGCGTAGGAAAAGAGGCCTAGACATACGAAATCTTCGGTGAAAAATATTGGAAGGATAAAGAGGATTTTCTAAGAAATAATCATTCACTAGTTTTTTATGTGCTTCCTCTCGTGGTCTCTTGATGTGCTTCCTCGGATGTAGTCGATGGTCAGCTGCCTGTTTCTGCAGAGCTTCGACGGTAGACTGAATGACCACCGTGGCTTCACTAATAACATCATCTAGGATCTCATCCTCAGCAATGAACTCATCCAACGAGTACAGAGGATTTTGACTTCCATCAAGATTGTCATGTTCCTCAGACATCTTTGCAGATGAGAAAAAGGAAAGGTGAGAGAGTACAGTAATAAGAAAAATAAAATAGAAAGTTTAAAGATATTAAGATCACCTCAAAACTGTAGAACAAGATGGAAGAAGAATGAGGAAGAGAGAAGACCTTCGTGTGTGTTAAGGAAAAGAGAGGATGGTGTATATATAGGTGCACACGGCAACCATAATAGATAGTACAGTTTCACACCTAATGAGAATCTGAGCAGTTTTCACACCTAATGTGAAACTGAGCAGTTTTCACACCTAAAGTGAAACTGCCATAGTAGATAATGCAACATTCACACTACAAACTGCCATAGTATATAGTGCAGCATTTACACATGATATGAGTAGTTTTCACATCTAATTAATATAGTGCACATGATGCAGCATTTACACATGATGTGAGCAGTTCAGAACCAACCTTAGTCTGCAAACAACTTTTCTTCTATCTTGCGTATTGCCCTGTCTCGGCTAGCCTTTTGATCTTCAGACATGTGACTTATGTCTTGATTAAGCAGGGAATTATAGACCTCAAACATCTTTGCTTCCTTTTGCTCCTTTGCTGCCCTCAAATTTGCATTTGATATCCGAATCAGTATTCATGACCTTTTCCCACTCCACCTTCCAATCTTGCTGCACCTTGATAATTTTCTCAATATGGTCCCCAAGGATGACAATTCCTTCCATAACATTGTCCTTCTTATGCCTTCCATCAAGGCTCGACCTTTCTTTGTTCTCTACCAATGGGATGTGATTGTTCATCTAGAACATGAACTATCTCACTCTTGTTTTTCTCTGTCTCCTCAATCAGTGCACACCATTTGGGCTCGTTTTTTAGTATCTTCCACCAATGCACCAACGAAAAAGGCTTTCCAAACCTGTTTGCATACATCTTTTGTGCCTCATCTTCCAGCATGTCGTTGGAGTATTCGCTTGTATGCATTTGAGTTACCTTACTCCAATAGTCATTGAAATCAGTGATCGATGACTTGAGGCGTGACCAGTGAACCTTCAGTTGGTTTATTTCCCTTCTACGCTTCCCATTCCCTTTCTTGTTAAAATCATCAGTGACTTCCTTCCAAAATGTGTCACCTCTCTTGTCATTTCCCTTAATTGGGTCTTTAGAAGCATTCAACCAAGCACTGGCCTACAAAATACAAAATATTGATATAAGATGAACAAATCAAGTATTATCGACAACACTGGCCTACAAAATTAAGTATTGTACCAGTCTCTCTTCCTCTTCATGACTCCAGTATCTCTTCTTTACTTGCCTATTTGCCTCATTGTTGTCATCTTCATCAATGTCAATGTTCACCGTCTCCTTTGTTGAAATACCTTGTTTCACAGCTTGGAGTGCTCCACAGGCACTTGGCGGTGGTGATATCGGGTTGAAGCCCATAGGCTGTCCAGCCAAATGAAAATTTTCTCGTTGAATTTGTGGTCTGCTTTGTGGATAGTGTGGTTGTTGAAGAAAATTCATAAAACCACCGGTGGATAGACCACAAGTTTTCACACTATCATTAACACCATCCGAATAGAGTTTGAACCTTTCTATGCTAAGATCAAACTATAAAACCAACTGTACTAAACAATCTTCAATATCATGATGAACAATCTTGCGGGCATCAACTTCCAACGAGTACAAATCAACTACTGGCAGACCATGAATTTGGGAATACACAGATCGAAATCAAGTGCTTACCATGAATTTGGGGATTGTTGGTTTTCGAGTTCGAGAGGAAAAAAATTGAAGTACGGCCCCCATCCTACTCATGTGGGTTGCATGCATCATCAGATTTAAGACAGAGAGTAGGGAAGAACTCAACCTGGCGGGGAGGAAACCACAGTGGCCGGTGTGGGAACTGGTGACGAAGCTGGAGGCCGCGACGGCGCAGTCGAGGACGACTTCTTCAGTCCCAGATGGCTACCCGCTCGCCCTTTTCCCCCATTCGTGGAGGTGCGCCGCCCGGAGCTCGCCACTAGTGCCATCGGAGCAGCGTTGCTCGCTGATTTGAAACCCTAGCGCAGGTGATGTGCGGGGGGCGAACCTATCCACGGAGGAGGAGGAGAGGGGCGGGAACGACTGGAGGGAGGCGGGAAGATTGGGGAAAGGGCGGGAGGGGGCGAGAAGGGCGCGCCGTCGGGAGCCCGACCGCACGAGATGAGGATGAAACGCCGGACGCCCCTCAATGCGAGTTTCATTCAGTTACCGAGGACTCGGTAACGGTGCCCAAACGTGTCGTGGCCATGAAACGTATTCCCTCTCTCTCCTCCTAAAATCATGTAAAGATTCCTTTTCTTGCTGATGTGTCATCTAATTAATGTGCATAATACACCCACGAAACCCCCGTTGAGACTGGCCTAATAAATAAAAAAGTAAAAAAAAAACACCTCGTAAACCAGTGGTAGTAGTTGAGGCGAGAATTTTATTTTCCATTTCGAGGTTGAGGCTGGCAAACTTCTAGGACAGAAATAAATAACAGAAATACTACTAATAAAACATACTTATACCAAAGAAAATGATGGAGAGAGAAATGTTAGGTGAAGTGGGCCCAGCAACATGGGGTTGGTGGCCGTGGGTTTGGTGAGAGGACAACAAAGCTACAGCTACCGGCTACCGCCAGCGGGTGGCTTCTCCCCCGACGTGGGGCCCATCCGGTCAGTGTCCGCCCGCGATGTCCTCCCGTGCATGCCTGCCCGACTCGCCAAATACTTTCCGCACCGCAACACTCAGGTACACCCGCACCCACGCGGACCCACCTCTGACCTCCCTCCCCGGATCCGCGCCCGGCGCCAGCGCGGCTATAAATGGCGGAGCCCCAGCAGTGCCGAGACCCCGTGCCACACATCCCGTTCGCATCTTCTCCTCCCTCTTGCGGTCCCGAATAAAGAGCAGCAGCGCAAGGTGAGCCAGCTTGCCCGCACCCTGCTTCTTCTCTCTCGTTGGATCGTTATTTCGTTCGTCGTGCTTCTCCCGAGGTTCGTGCGTGCGTTTGTGCGTAAGTGCGTGGTTTTGTCATTTGTGCGCATGCTTGGGGAGATGCTTCAAACCTTGGGTCTTCCTCGGTGGAGGGGGTAACTGATGCCCATTTGTTTTTTGCGGCGGTTGGATCTGATGGTCGCCACGGGATGGCGGATCCGGTTGTGGGGTTTGGTGATTACTCCGTAGCCTTTTAGCGGTTCTGTAGATCTGGGTTGTCGTTTAAATTTGAGATTCAGCGGAGGAAATTTGGGATTTTTCTTTTGAAATTTTTGGTCTCTCGGAGGGAGGGTTCTCCATTTAGATCTCGTAGCCTCTGTATATGGAGCTGTCTGTGGTGCTCTGATTTTCAGATCTCACGGCATCGGTTTTACTATTTGTTCGTCATCCAATTCGAATGTGAGGTGGATCTGCGGATGGTTTCTGATCGTCTGAATTGCTTTTTAAATAAAATTGCAGAGGTTGGTAGAGTAATTTATCACCCGAGAAGAAGAAGGCAATGGCGGCGGAGAGCTTCCTCTTCACCTCGGAGTCCGTGAACGAGGGGCACCCCGACAAGCTGTGCGACCAGGTGTCGGACGCCGTGCTGGACGCCTGCCTCGCGCAGGACCCCGACAGCAAGGTGGCCTGCGAGACCTGCACCAAGACCAACATGGTGATGGTGTTCGGCGAGATCACCACCAAGGCCACCGTGGACTACGAGAAGATCGTGCGCGACACCTGCCGCGCCATCGGCTTCACCTCCGACGACGTGGGCCTCGACGCGGACCGCTGCAAGGTGCTGGTCAACATCGAGCAGCAGTCCCCCGACATCGCGCAGGGCGTGCATGGGCACTTCACCAAGCGGCCCGAGGAGATCGGCGCCGGCGACCAGGGCCACATGTTCGGGTACGCCACCGACGAGACCCCCGAGCTGATGCCGCTCAGCCACGTGCTGGCCACCAAGCTCGGCGCGCGCCTCACCGAGGTCCGCAAGAACGGCACCTGCGCCTGGCTCAGGCCCGACGGCAAGACCCAGGTCACGGTGGAGTACATCAACGAGGGCGGCGCCATGGTCCCCGTCCGCGTGCACACCGTGCTCATCTCCACCCAGCACGACGAGACCGTCACCAACGACGAGATTGCCGCCGACCTCAAGGAGCACGTCATCAAGCCCGTCATCCCGGAGAAGTACCTGGACGAGAAGACCATCTTCCACCTCAACCCGTCCGGGCGCTTCGTCATCGGTGGGCCCCACGGCGACGCCGGCCTCACGGGCCGCAAGATCATCATCGACACCTACGGCGGCTGGGGAGCCCACGGCGGTGGCGCCTTCTCCGGCAAGGACCCCACCAAGGTGGACCGCAGCGGCGCCTACATCGTCAGGCAGGCCGCCAAGAGCATCGTGGCCAGCGGCCTCGCCCGCCGCTGCCTCGTGCAGGTGTCGTACGCCATCGGCGTGCCGGAGCCCCTGTCCGTGTTCGTCGACTCGTACGGCACCGGGACCATCCCCGACAAGGAGATCCTCAAGATCGTCAAGGAGAACTTCGACTTCAGGCCCGGCATGATCACCATCAACCTCGACCTCAAGAAGGGCGGCAACAGGTTCATCAAGACCGCGGCCTACGGCCACTTTGGCCGTGACGACGCCGACTTCACCTGGGAGGTGGTGAAGCCCCTCAAGTTCGACAAGGCCTCTGCTTAAGATTATTGGGAAGTCAAATTGGACATGAAGAGATTGTGTCTCCGTGCTGTATCTTCCTCTGGCTCTGCTGATTGATACCTGCAAGCATTGCTGCTGCTGCTCCTGCTCCTGGATGTGTGTTTGATCAGTGACTGGCTGCTCCATAGAAGATGAATGAAGAGAAGGATGAAGAAGAAGGCTTCGGCAATTGCCGCAGCAAGCCATGTCGGCGCCGCCGGCTTAGGGATTGGTATAATTTGGTGTGACAGCAGCCAGGATTATACGCTGATCTTTTATCTTTACTAGTTTGGTCGTCCGGTATTTTTTTTCTTTGTTTCTTCCCCTTTTCGAGTCTGTACTGAAACTGCTGAGAGATTTGCAGTTTTCATCTATCAAATTCGTATGTTACTGTTACTCTTTTGGTGTCCCCTGTGTAACCAGCCGCAATTACAGATTCACATTTCTCCGTCCACTTGTGCTTGCTCTGTTGGTGACCTTTGAGTACCATGAAAGGTGGTGAACAAAAATGTTTCGTGTGACCTTTGAGCAACTGTGAAAGGTGCACAGTTCATACTGCATTTGGCAACTGAATGGACAGGCTGGATCTTTGTTGCTGTTGGTTCCAATGCATCCAATGGTGGAGTGGACGTAAGAGGGTGGTGGGCACATGGAGTTGTACTGTATTTCTGTGCAGAGTAGTGATATTTGTTTGCACCGAAAGAAGGCAACTGTTTAAGAACGGCAACAGGGGGTGATAATGTGTTTCGTTTGGATGCTAGATAGAGACATTTTCATCCCATGGCCCCGTTCAGCTTACCAAGAAGCTAGCTTGTTCGGCTTTTTTTTTTCAATCGGATAAACGTTTTTCTCTCACAATAATTCAACCATAATAATGGAGTTATTTATAGAGAGAAATATTCCTCTAGATTTGGGACTACATCTGTTCCTTAGGATACAAGTTACGCAGCATTCGATATTCGATGACACGACGGAGTAGTCATTTCGAATATTCCTCTAGATTTGGGTATACTCCCTCCATAAAAAAAAAAGCGAACCTGGACAAACACGGACGGAGGCACCTGTTCCTCAGGATACAAGTAATGAACTCGTCTACTCTGCGAGTGCTCCGGCAAGCGAGCTCGGTCACATCCTCCTCTTTGTGTCTACGAGCACTTCGGTAGGCGAGCTCAGCCACAACGCAACATGGATGAGCAGTCTTGGCTACAGTGGCGGACCCAGGATTTTTCATAGGGTATGGGTCGCAAAAAAAATTCTTATATAATTCGATAAAACTATATTATAATTTGGTAAAACGACGTCAAATCTTAATATAAATTGTTCAAATGAAATACAAATACTTCGAAATATAAGAATAGAAGACTTACAATATTATTTGTTTATCCGCCACTTTCTCAATGACATGAATGTCTCTATTATATCATCTTCATTAACTTGGAAGAAAATATCCCGCTCAATAAATGTGACTAGACAATTATCCAAAACAGTATCACCTGTCTTATTCCTTGACTTTGTTTTGACTATAATCAATGTAGAAAATACCTTTTCAACACTCGCAGTTGCCACTGGTAAAAGCAATATCAATTTGAGAAATAAGTACACCATATCATACACTTTGTGCCTCTTTGTTTCAACAAGCTTAACTGAGAGATCAACAATGTTGTCTAGACCTTGGAAGATAGCATCTTGTCGCATGTCATCAATATAATTATCAAGTTGCAATTCCAGTTTTAACAAATCATTGTTGGAGAACTCCTTAGGATAAAATTCAGCCAATCTACGTACCTTCCGTGTATCAAAAGAAGCAAAGGAGTTGGAAGGACTGAAGGCTGACATACAAGAGAGTAGCTCCATATTGATCTCATCAAACCGATTATCAAGCTCTTGACTAATTTGATCAATGACACCAATGTATACTTCTCTTCGGAAATGGTCATCATTTGTTTGGTTTCGGGCATGAGCATACCGTGCTGATTTTCCATAAGGCACATAAGCACCATCCATAGCAGGAACTTCAACACCATGTTTAACACAAAAAGAAGTGACCTTCTGAAGAAAATTATCTCAACCATTAGACCTCAACTCCTACATTCTGCTCTTTGCCACATTAACAAGTGAGATTGCATTAAGAATATCTTGATCCCTTCTCTGCAAGCACTCGGATAACTCATTTGTATATCCAAGAATAACATACATTAAGTGCACAAAGAAAACAAACTCAAAGGTTTCAAATGCTCCAAGCACAAAATGTATCTTTGTCCAATCTTCCTTATATGCATTATCAGCACCAAGGTCAATGAGCACATCATGAATTGAGGAATATATAGTGATGATGCTACATATAGTTTTGTAATGAGAGCCCCACCGAGTGTCACCAGGTCTAGGTAAACCCATCTCTTGATTTAATCCACTCCCTGATTCAAGCTCACCGCACTCTAGTGCTTTCTTGACAATCTCAAGCCTAGCATTTCAAAGCATATCATGACGCTTGCAAGAAACCCCAACAATGTTTAACAAGATAGATACTTGATCAAAAAAAGTCTTGCAGTCAGTATTTCCTTTGGCAACAGCAACAAGAACTAGTTGGAGTTGATGTGCAAAGCAATGAATATAATAAGCGGAAGGTGATTCTTGCATGATTAAAGTTTTGAGCCCTTTAATATCTCCTTTTATATTGCTAGCCCCATCATAACCTTGACCTCTAATCTGCTGCATACTCAATCCATTACTAACAAGTAAAACTTCAATTGCTTTCTTAAGTGACAAAGAGGTAGTATCATCTACATGAACAACTCCAATAAAGTGCTCACATGGCCTTCCAAGTTTATCAACATAATGCAAGCAAAGAGCTAGTTGTTCTTTATGTGATATATCACTAGACTCATCAGCTAAAATTGCATAGGGCTCATCACCAAGTTCCTCAATTATTTTTTTTCTAGTTTCTATGGCACAACAGTGAATAATTTGCTTTTGTATCTTTGGGCTAGTCAAAATGCAATTACCTGGTGCATTGTTCAAGACATACTTGTTCACTTCTTCACTATTTCCTGCAAGAAACTTTAAAAGTTCAATGAAGTTGCCTCTGTTGCTAGACTCTTCACTTTCATCATGTCCACGGAATGCCAATCCTTGATGCAAAAGAAACTTGATACATCTAAGTGAATATGTCAATCTTTTCTTGTAAAGACGAAGCTCCTCCTCACTCCACTTGTCAATGTTATAATCAATTGCTACCTTGGGATTCATAAAACCAATGTACCTCTCTTGAGCTGCTTTATGTGCCCTAGAACCAGAATGTTTGAGAAGTGCTGTGTTTCCTATATTCCAATTATTCCATCCATCAACAATAAAAGTTTTTGACCCACTGCCCTTCTTGAACAAGTAGCATATGAAGCAAAATGCAGAATCCTTCTTGACACTATATTCAAGCCACTTATAATTATACAACCATTATATACTGAATCAACGAGGTACGCCTCCAATGTTTCGGTATGTAAAATCATGTATATAAGGTTTGCAAGCACCTTTAGTAATATATGCTCTACGGATTGCATCTTGATCATTAACAAGATAATCTTCAATGGGCAGCCTTTCACCTGGATCATATGGTAGGCGATTGATGTCATACGCCGGCGGCTTTGATGCGGGCGGTGGCGGTGATGCTAGCGGGGGCGAGGGCAAATGATCTACAATTTCTTCAACTTGTACTCTATCTTCTTCTTGATTCTGCTCTTCCACAATATTTTCATCCGGAGGTGGGTCAATAGCAGCCACCTTCTTTGCTGCTTTCTGAAAAGGGGATCGAATGTCTCCGTTTCTTTTCATAATTCAAGACTCAAGAGTTCTGGAAAAAACACTCGCCAATTATCAAAACTAACGATCAGAAGAAACCTGGAACTGAGGAAGGACGGGGATGGACGAGGAGTATCACCTGAGGAACTGAGGAAGGACTGGCGATCAGTCTTGCAGAGTTGCAGGCGATGGCGGCAGTCCAGGGCGGCCAGGCCAGGCAAAGCGACGGGCTGCTGGTAGGGTGGCGGCGGGCGCGCTGGGCATGGCACCGAGCGGTCGAGCTGGGAGCCGTCGCTGGCGCACGCGAAGAAGCCTGGAAGTCCTGGTACGACGCGTCGTAGACGAGGCCTAGGTCCAGCGCGTGCTTGGGCCGGATGTGGCCCGAGCCGTAGTCCATGGGCCCCGCGGCCGAGCCATCATGATGTATGGTTGCCCCGCGACCGAGCGTTGTTGTTTGATGGCGTGAGACGACGTTTACTGACCACCCTGTCGGCCTGTCACCCGGTTACTTCCGCGCCGGGCATGCACCTTGAGTTGGCTTCATGACCTTTCGCCATGCAACACCAACCACTCGTCAGCTCACACACTGGCACTGCACGACGACACGCTGCACGATATCTACTGCAGGGTGGTCGGTGGACCACCCTGACCACCCACTAGGTCCGCCACTTCTTGGCTGGCATGGGCAAGCTGCGATGGGAGTGGTGGCGACTCTAGGTGGCGGTGGTGCGGACTCCGAGCAGTGCTTCGGTGCGAGCTCAAGGCGAGGCGTAGCGAGCACCGAACAAGGATGGTGCAAGCTCTGGGTGGGCTCCATGCCGAGGATGGTGGCGGATAGGGCAGCCAGGGGGCTAGAAGAGGCGGCAAGGGCCAGGGCTAAGGGAGGTGGCAGACGGGGCAGAAAGGACGACCGAAGGCGGGAGAGGGTGCATGGGGCGACCCGAGCCAAGAGATTGCAGTGTGGAAGAAGGAACGTGTGGGTCTCACTTAATAAATGTTCAACGGCTCACAAACGCTGCACTCCATCCTTCAACCTTCAAACCAAACATAGAGTAGTATATTTCCACCTCAATCAAATAGAGATAAAACCACCCTATTCTAAAATTTAGAGTGACTATATCCCATTTCTCTCACGCGTAAGGGTGAGCACGGCCATGGCGGTGGGCGGCCGTCCATCGGCGGCGAGCGGGTGCTGTGGGGTTGGCCTGGCG